TGAAGGTTGGTTGGTTGGGAAAAGAGCTTCAACTGGCTCGCGAACTAGGGTGGTGTCGAAATAGGAAGCCACAAGTCGCTGAGTGATATACTTACTGTCGCGAGAGTTACTATATCCCAAATGCAACTCGTGAACCCCTTGGCGTAGAATTTCGGAGTACCGTATAGTTCCGGCTAGAAGACCCGGGGGACTCTCTAGAATTGCTTGAAAAAATGCTAGGGTGGACATCTTGGCAGTTGCAAATTTTTAAGACCCGGGGTACACTTATTTATTATATATCAATCTGTTATTTAGGGTGTACAGTTCGATTTGGGGAGGGGGGGTCTTATATTCGTAACGAAAACCAGCTTTCGCGTGCAAATTTCACGTGAGCGGCGCGTCAGATTTTTGTCAGAATTCGAGCCTGACACAATCAAAGTGTTAGAATTCGAGTCTGACACAGAATGCATGTCAGAATTCGAATTTTTGCCTATAAAAAATAACTCACAATAGCAATAACAACTACTCTAGACATAAAAGGGGGGTCTTATGATGATTAGAGGCCAAAGGGGGGTCCTCACAATATCTGCCACAATAAGAGTCCCCCTACCCGTTCAAGAGTCCCGGGGGACTTTCTTACTGGCGGGTCTTCTAGCCGGAACTATACGGGTAACAACAACTTCATTGGGCGAAATCGACACCGTTGTCGTCGTTGTGAGTACAGTGATTTCGGGTCGTCAAAATCGTTCCAACAATTGCGATGTTGACTGTTATCTACCAGACTACTCCCAACCAAAGTTAGGAAGGTTGAGGCAGTTTTGGGTTGTTCGGAACTCCAGTAAAAAAAAAAAAAAGAGGCGACGAAATCTTCTTAGGGTTGCGAAGCAACACTTGCAACATGCGTAAAATTAAGAACGACTTTGATTGTATTGTGATTTTATTATGATTAATTATGCCTTCTTTTTATTTTTTATGTGAATCTCGGTTCGTTTGGTTTTATTATTATTTGAGGTTGCACAAAAAAATTGATGATGGTCTGTATATTGATAGGGCTGGGACATAATTATAAATATGACAGTTAAACAATAAATATAGTTGTGTAGTTGTTTTATTTGTTTCATCGAAACTGCCAGTTCCGAGCGGGTTGTTTACCTGACGTCAGCAGCGACCTATGAAATTTCGTGGAAAATACGAGGCATGACATCTGACGTCAGCCCAAAATTTCGCGCGCGCAAAATTTCGGCGACGCTGCTGACGTCAGCCCGAAATTTCATCGCTTGATTTCTACTGTACATCCGAACCGTTTCTAGAAATGTCGGTATCTTTCCTGCCTTTGTTTTTTCTGCTTGTTTCGTCCTTTTTGTCTTATGTGTATCCACTCGCTTGTTTGTTCTGTTTGAAAGTTGCATGGTTGTATTGTTTTGTTTTGTTTTTTCCTGACAGGTGGCGAGATTTTCGGAGAGGCCCCTGACGCCAGCAGCGCATGGCGACGGTGCTGACGTTAGTACCTTTTCACGCGCGAGTTTTTTTGTGGGGGTCAACAATTCTCAGCCATTGGCGGGACTTGTCAAAACGGAAAGGAAACGAGGAGGAAGAAGAGGGCGCCGAAAACAACAAAAATTCAGATCTTGCGCACTCCGAGACACAGCACCCCCAGGCTCAGCACCCCCAGGCGCAGCACCCCCAGGCTCAGCACCCCCAGGCGCAGCACCCCCAGGCTCAGCACCTCCAGGCTCAGCACCCCCAAGCTCAGCACCCCCAGTCGCAGCACCCCCAGACCCAGCACCCCCAGGCTCAGCACCCCTAGCAGCACCAGAGTCAACAGCTACCTCGACAGGCTCGACCGCATCTACCTGGGACACACCTGAGGGGGCAGGACCCTGAGGGGGGAGGGGGTCTACCGGAGGGGGACCTGGCGTAAGGAAGAGCGGAGCGGGAGGGAGGGACGCAGTGCGGTAGGGGAAGAGACGGTAGTAGGGAACCGACTCGTCAAAGGTGACGTCCTGGGAGGACAGAACATGGAGCGAGGTGGGGTGGTAGAACTGCCAGCCTGGCGCGTCAGGAGGGAAGCCAAGGAAGACGCAGGGAACAGCACGAGAGGACAGCTTGTCCGCAGACAAGTCGCGGACAAACGCCCGAGATCCCCAGACACGGAACGCAGACGCATCGCCAGCCTTCCCCGTCCACAGCAAAGCAGGGGAGGTCTCCGGCATGGAGACCCGGGGGTGAAGGTTGATCTGATGCGCCGCAAACGGCCACAGAAAATGGGGGGCAGCCGCATGGACCATGGACGTACGAGCGACGTCCATGATCATGCCAATGCGGCGCTCAGCAATCCCATTTTGCTGTGGAGAGTCCGGAAGCGTGAAGGTCTGGCGGATGCCTCGTGCACGACAGAAGGCCCGCAGAAGGTCAGAGGAGAACTCTCCGCCTCTGTCGGAGTGCAGACGCAGAACAGGAAAGTCCGAGCCGAAACTCTCCCGGAGCTGGAGACGAGCTGCGCGGATCCAGGCGATCAACACCTCAGTGACGTCACCCTTGCTGCGCAAGGGGAAGACTGTGGTGTAACGCGAGTAGTCGTCAACCACCAACAGGAAGTAACGCTCGTGACCCTGCCCACGGACGCGGGCTGGGCCCCACACGTCCATGTGAAGCGTCTGCAGCGGAGCCTCTGTCGGAGGAAACTCGGAGGAGTGAGGAGCAGCGCGCTGCCGCCCCTCGACGCAGGGAACGCAGGTGGGGGCAGGCCCCGGAGGAAGGGGAGGGAGGGACCGGGGGAGGCCAGAGACAAGAAGACGGGATACGAGACGAGGCAGGGAGGGGTGACCAAGGCGGTGGTGCCAGAGGAGAGTCCGGTGGGACAGGAGACGACACGAGCAGGGGGCAGACTCAGGGCCAGACCTGGACGCCGCAGCAAACACCTGACCCGACGCTGCTACCTGAGCAGACTCAGCGACTGGAGGAGACTCAGTAGTGAGTGTGTACAGGCTCGACCCCGGCTGACGGGTAAACGTGGCCAAGTGACGGCCCGACCGAGCACAGGTACAGTGGGTCACTCGCTGACTCGCAGGAGTGAACTGGTGAACCCCTGCATCCTGGAGGTCAGCACCACTCACCAAGTTCGTAGAGAACGAGGGGAGGTAAAGACCTGACAGGGTGCCAGAAGGGGCCGCCGGACACGGTAGGACAGTGGAGAAGCGGGCAAGGACAGGGCCCCCAGAGGGGTCTGCCAGGGAGACCGCCACTGGCCGACTAAGCGGCGTGAGCGTGGTGCAGTCTCGAAAGAAGGAGCGGGAAGCACCCGAGTCAAGGGTGAAGGTGTGGGTGTCCGGAGACGACGCAGTACCTGAGAGCGCAGACTCACCGGCACCTGGGGCGGCAGACGCACTGGCACCTAGAGCAGCAGCCTCACCAGCACCTAGAGCAGCAGCCTCAATGCCCGGGTCAGGCGGAAAACACCGGTAACAGTCACCCTCATCACTAATAGTCACAGCATACATGGCAGCAAGAATAGCATCATAATCAAGATCAAAGATCGCAACACCCGCCCTAGACAGCTCGCCCCAGCGAGGGATCTCAGTAGCGTCGGGGAACTGGTGACGCCAAGCGTCCGTCAGACGGCCGAAACAGCGCTGGGTGGAGTGCGCCCCCCCACACTGCTCACCCGCGCGGTCGCCGGTACGGAGAACGTAGGTACAGGGGCCAGCACCCCCGCCCCGCTGACGAGCAGTGTACCACTCACGAAGCTGCTGGGGGGAAGGGGTCTCACGAGTACGCTGCTGCTGCTGCTGCTGCTGACCACCACCGGAGCCGACCCTCTGCGTAGAGCCGCCCCGACCCGCTCCACCTCCGCCGCCGCTACCTCCACCACCGCCTCCTCCTCCGCCGCCACTGCCTCCACTAGTGCCCCCACTCCCACCACCACTCCCACCGCCACCCCCACTCCCTCCGCCTCCTCCACTGCCGCCTCCACCGCCTCCGCCAGCTCCCCCAACGCCCTTGCCCCCCTTGCCCTTGCCTGAGCGGCGTCTCCCGCTAGGGGTAGACGCCGCACCGACCGACTCAAGACCAACGAGGTCGGCCGCAGCAGCAGAGGCAACAGAGGGCAAGAGGGGGGAGGGGGAGCACCCCTCAAAGACAGGGGTACGAGGGTCACCACGAGAGGCTCCTACAGCAACTATGCTCGTCTCTGCTGCTAGGAGACGCTCCTCGAGGAGGTCAACGGTGAGAGTGGTGGGGCAAACAGAGAGAAAGTGGTCCCTGACCGAGCGAAGGGTGTCAGGGAGCCGGGTGACGATGTAGTAGAGGGTGATGTACATGGGGGGGGGGGGTTCTTGGCGCAGAACTCAGCAGGAAGCGCAGCGCGGTAGCGAATGTCACTAGTGCGAAGGTGCGTAATGAGGTCAGCGACAGTGGGAAAAGCGGCGAGGTCAGGGAAGAGGTACGGCAGTATGAGGCGGCTAAGCGCAGCAGTGGCAGGGGAAGAGTAGCGTGCAACTACAGCGTCGTACAAGGTCTTAGCACTCTTGTACTGACTAAAGTGCGCACGCTCAGCGGTCGGCAAGTGGCGGCGCACAGCAAGGCGGGCAGCAGCATCGCGCGTGGCCCACTGTGAGCGAACAGTGGCGTCAGCATCAGCAGCAGGGGAAGGAGAGGCACCAGAAGTGAGGTCAAAGAGGGAGAGACCGTCTGCCCTATCGCACTGTAGGAAAAGCTGTAGAGCATCTACCCAGACCTCAAAGTCAACAGCCCGACCCTCAGCGTCAAAGGTGAGAACACTGGGGGTGGCCATGACAGCAGTGGTAGCAGTAGCAGCAGTGGTAGTAGTGACAGCGCAGTGCGGTGACACTCTTACCAGGGCAGAGAGCCGCAAGTGGTGGGGCAGGGCCGAGGCGCACCGGCAGGGACGAGCCGAGGCGCGCAGGTAGGGCCGAGGCGCACCAGCAGAGGCGGGCCGAGGCGCGTCGGTAGGGCCGAGGTGTCAAACATTATATATGTTTGGTTTGTTAGGCTACAGTGGGTTAGCCTGTATGGGGTACACAATTCTAGGGTTAGCTATTTGTACTGATTTCTCTGTTAGTTCAACCATTCCAGTCTCGTAATCTTGACATGGTTTCAGAGCAGGTCCTTCCCTAGGACCGTTTTTAAGGGCCCACCTAACTACCTACATACCTATCAAGCGCCCCTAGTGCGCCTCCTATTGCGCCCCTAGTGCGCCTCCTATTGCGCCCCTAGTGCGCTATCCCTTTTTTTTTTACCGCGCGCGATCTGCTAGCCGCCCGCGCGCGGCCTATTTCGTGCGCGCGACCAGCCAGCAGCCCGCGCGCGGCCATTTTTCGCGCGCGCCTAGCTAGCCGCCGGCGCGCGCGGCTCTTTTTTTCTTCGAGCGCGGCCCGTCGCGCTGCTCCGTGCTGCGCTCGACCCCCCCGCGCCTTCGTCGCCGCGGTCGGGCCTTCAGCAACAGCCGCGGCAGAGACTGCAGTCGCGGCCGTCGCAACTGCTGCAGCAGCCGCCGCCGCCTCTCCTGCCGCGGCCGCCGCTGCATCTACAGCAGCTGCAGCCGCCACATCTACTGCAACAGCCGCCGCTGCAGCTACAGCAGCAGCAGCCGCCGCATCTTCTGCAGCAGCCGCCACTGCATCTACAGCAGCAGCAGCCGCCGCTGCATCTCCAGCAGCAGCAGCCGCCGCGCCTTCTGCAGCAGCCGCCGCTGCATCTACAGCAGCGGCCGCCGCCGCATCTACGGCAGCAGCAGCCGCCGCAATCTACAGCAGCGGCCGCCGCAGCTACAGCAGAATCAGCCGCCGCTGCCTCTGCAGCAGCAGCCGCCGCCGACCCAGCAGCAGCAGCCGTAGCCGAACCTGCAGCATCTGCTGCCGCTGTCTCGACTGCCCCGGCCTTGCCTTGCCCTGCTGCTACTGTCACTGCCACGTTTATTACTTACTCTTCCTCCTCCTGCTACCATGGCTACTGCTCCTGTTCTAGCCTTCGACGCTGAGGGCCGCCCAGTGAAATTTGACACCTGGCTCGATGATCTGCACCTTTTCCTACAGCTCACTGCCAAGGAAGACATTTCACTGTACGACCACGCCCTAGGCCATGCTACTGCCCCTGACTCCTCTGCTGCTAGCACACTGCGCTCCCAGTGGCAGACCCGCGACGCACACGCTCGCTTTGCTATCCGCAACTCCCTGCCGCTAGATGAGCGCGAGCACTTCGGCCAGTGCAAGACTGCTAAGGAACTGTACACAGCCGTAGTTGCTCGCTACTCCTCGCCTGCGTCTGCCACCCTAGGCCGCCTCTCCCTGCCCTACCTGTTCCCCGACCTGGCCTCCTTTCACACTGTCGCTGATCTCATCACCCACCTCAAGACTAGTGAGGCCCGTTTTCGCGCTGCCATGCCTGCCGAGTTCCTTGCTAGCAACCCCCCCCCGCTCTGGCTCACCCTCTACCACATTGTCACCCGCCTCCCTGACTCTCTGCGCACAGTCAGGGACTCCTTTCTAGCTCGCTCCCCTACTGAACTCACCATTGCCCTCCTCGAGAAGGACCTACTTGCAGCTGAGGCGAGCATCGTCGCCGTAGGTGCCTCTCGTGGCGAGCCCCGCACCCCCTTCTTCGAGGGGTGTTCCCCTTCCCCCCTTCTCCCCTCTGTCGCCACTGCTGCTGCTGTCGACCTCCTTGGTGCTGAGAAGGTCGGGGCTGCGTCTGCTTCGAGCGGGCGCCGCAAGAGCAGGGGGGGCAAGGGTGGGGGTGGAGGCGGGGGAGGCGGGGGTGGAGACAGTGGAGGTGGCGGTGGGTCTGGAGAGGCTAGTGGCGGCAGTGGGGGTGGTGACAGCGGCGGCGGGGGTGGTGGCAGAGGCGGAGGTGGCAGCGGCGGCGGTGGCGGTCGTGGCCGTGGCAGGGGTGGAGGTGGCCGAGGCGGTGGCGGTGGCGGTGGCGGTGGTGGCCGTGGAGACGCTGGAGGTGGCCAGAGTCAGCAGCACGCCCCGACCCTCCAGGCCGCCCGTGAGTGGTACGCGCAGCGTGGGTACACTTGCACGTACGTCATCCGCACTGGTGACCGCACTGGCCAGCCATGTGGGAGGTCGCACCCCACACAGCGCTGCTTCCAGCGCCTGACTGACGCGTGGCGCATCCAGTTTCCTGGGTCTACTGAGCTCCCCCGCTGGCCTGAGCTGGAAAAGAAGGGTGTTGATATCTGGGCTTTAGACTTTGATGCTATTCTCACTGCTATGTATGCGATGTCTATTAGTGGAGAGGGTGCCCAGTACTTGCGTGTTCCGCCCGACCCGGGCATTCAGGCCAGCCCAGCTGCTGCTCTAGGTGCTAGTGTGTCTGCTCCCACAGGTCCTGCTGCAGCAGCTGCCCTAGGTGCTAGTGCGTCTGTGCCCCCTGGTACTGAGTCGACTGCAGCACTCCACACCTTCACACTGGACTCAGGTGCTTCTCGCTCTTTCTTTCGTGACCGCACTGTCCTTGAGCCACTAGCTCGGCCGGTTGCTGTCTCTCTTGCTGACCCCTCTGGGGGTCCGGTCATTGCGACCTCCTCCACTACACTTCCGTGTCCAGCGGTTCCGTCCGGCACGCTCTCAGGTCTCTACCTCCCCTCGTTCTCTACGAACTTGGTGGCAGGTTGTGCGCTGCAGGACGGGGGTGTTCACCAGTTCACCCCTGCCTACGAGCGTGTGACACACTGCACGTGTGCTCGGACGGGCCGCCACCTGGCTACTTTCACTCGAGAGCCGGGGTCGGACCTGTACACACTGACCACTGAGTCCCCTCAGGTAGCTGCGTCTGCGTCTGCGTCAGGTCAGCTGTCCGCCCCCTGCTCGTGTCGCTCTCTGGCGCATGAGACTGTCCTCTGGCACCACCGCCTTGGTCACCCGTCTGTGCAGCGCCTTCGGGCCATGCACAAACGGGACCTTGTTGCTGGTCTTCCCAGGGTGCTCCCTCCCCTTCCCGACTCCCCTGCTCCTGACTGCATTCCCTGTGTCGAGGGGCGGCAGCGCGCCGCTCCTCACTCCTCCTCCTTTCCCCCGACGACTGCTCCCTTGCAGACGCTCCACATGGACGTGTGGGGCCCAGCCCGCGTCCGTGGTCAGGGTCAGGAGAGGTACTTCCTGATAGTTGTTGACGACTACTCGCGCTACACCACAGTCTTCCCCTTGCGCGCCAAGGGTGACGTCCCTGGTGTTTTGATCCCCTGGATCAGTCGAGCCCGTCTCCAGCTAGGCAAGCGCTTTCACTCGGACTTTCCTGTCCTGCGCTTGCACTCTGACAGAGGTGGTGAGTTCGCCTCCGACCTCTTGGCAGCCTACTGTGCTGAGCACGGTATTGAGCAGTCGTTCACGCTTCCGGCCTCTCCGCAGCAGAATGGGGTCGCTGAGCGCCGCATTGGCCTAGTCATGGAGGTCGCTCGTACCTCCCTGACCCATGCGGCTGCTCCCCACTTTCTGTGGCCGTTTGCGGTCCGATACGCTGCGCATCAGCTCAACCTCTGGCCCCGTGTCTCCCTGCCGGAGACTTCCCCGACTCTGCGGTGGACGGGAGAGGTTGGCGATGCGTCGCGTTTCCGGATCTGGGGATCTCGAGCTTTTGTCCGCGACACGTCCGCGGACAAGCTCTCGCGTCGCGCCGTTCCCTGTGTCTTTCTTGGCTTTGTGCCTGACGCGCCTGGATGGCAGTTTTACCACGTCACCTCGCGCCGGGTTCTGGCCTCTCAGGACGTCACTTTTGACGAGTCCGTCCCCTTCTACCGCCTCTTCCCCTACCGCACTGCCCCGCTCCCCCCCCCGCCTCTCTTCCTCGCTCCAGGTGCTGAGGTACCAGACCCCCTCCCCCCTCAGGGTGCCGCTCCCTCAGGTGTGTCCCAGGTAGACCCGGGTGAGCCTGTCGAGGTAGCTGTTGACTCGCGTCCTGCGTCTGGGGGTGCTGAGCCTGGGGGTGCTGAGTCTGGGGGTGCAGAGCCTGGACGTGCGGAGCCTGGGGGTGCTGAGCCTGGAGGTGCGGAGCCTGGAGGTGCGGAGCCTGGGGGTACTGAGTCTTCGGGTGCTGAGCCTGAGCGTACTACACCTGGAGGAGCCCTCTCCTCCCAGCAGCTGCAGGAGAGGTACCTCGAGTACTGCCGCCTCCGGAGAGGTGCTTCTGGAGCTCGTCCCAGTACTTCCCCTCCTACCCAGGAGCTCCCCCCCATTCAGGTGATCCGAGAGTGGTACACACGGCGCTGCAGTCTTCGGAGTGGTGCTCCTGGTGCAGCGGACCCGAGCGGTGGCGCTGTTGCTGGTGCTGAGGACCCGGACGCTGGAGCTGCTGCTGGTGCTGAGGACCCGGGCGTTGGAGCTGCTGTTGGTGCTGAGGACCCGACCGGCGGCGCTACTGCTGGTGCTGAGGACCTGACCGGTGGCTCTGCTGCTGGTACTGAGGACCCGGGCGTTGGAGCTGCTGCTGGTGCTGAGGACCCGGGCGTTGGAGCTGCTGCTGGTGCTGAGGACTCGGGCGTTGGAGCTACTGCTGGTGTTGAGGACCCGGGTGTTGGAGCTGCTGCTGGTGCTGAGGACTCGGGCGTTGGGGCTGCCGCTGGTGTCCCTGCTGGTTCTGGAGACGCTGTGCGGCCGCGACCGTACTTCGTACCACTCCTTCAGCAGGTTCTTGGTCAGGCTCCTCCTCCTAGTCCTCCTCCCACCGTCGAGTGTCCTCTGCCTGTCCCACCGCAGTCACAGTTACCGCCTGCCTCGCCTCTCCCTGCTCCCTCTCCTTACGCTGGTCCCACAGGAGGTCTTACAGAGCGTCGTGAGCCTGAGTCTCGTCCTGCGTCGCCTGTTCGTACTACTCGCACTGGTCGTCGTGTCCCACGTGAGCGTCCCCCTCCTGTCCCTGGCACTCACTACATGACCTTGCGTCCCTCCACTGCTCCGCAGCGTGTCCCGCTGCCGTCTCCTCCTGCGTCATCTCTTCCTACTCTTCCTGACCCGGAGTCTGACTCCCGTCGTGCGGCCAGTCCCACTGTTACGCGTCTCCTCGCTACAGTTGTCACTGACCCGACCTTTGAGTCCTCTGCTGCGTCTGCTCTGGTCGCTGAGCTGGTTGACTTTGCTGCTCGCTGTCGCTTAGACTACGCTGCCAGCCTTGTCGCTGAGTCTGAGTCTGAGTCTGCCTGTCCTCCGTCCGTCGGGGGTGAGTGTGCTCTTGGCACGGACGTCCTTGAGGACAGACAGGAGGAGTTCCAGTGCTTTGCTGCTGCTTTGCCCCATCTCGTGTCCATGCTTGTTGCCCCTGAGGGAGACCCGGATGCACCAGACATCCCGACCCCGCGCTCTTACGCTGAGGCGATGGCGGGTCCCTACTCCTCTCAGTGGCAGACAGCCATGGACGCAGAGATGGCTTCCTGGAAGTCCACAGGCACCTACGTCGACGACGTTCCCCCTCCTGGGGCGAACATCGTCAGTGGCATGTGGATTTTCAGGGTGAAGCGGCCGCCGGGTTCTCCTCCTGTCTTCAAGGCACGCTACGTGGCTCGAGGCTTCAGTCAGCGAGAGGGAGTCGACTTCTTCCAGACCTTCTCCCCCACCCCGAAGATGACCACTCTTCGGGTGCTGCTGCACATAGCCGCTCACCGCGACTACGAGCTTCACTCACTTGACTTCAGCACTGCTTTCTTGCAGGGCAGCCTGCACGAGGAGATCTGGTTGCGCCGCCCTCCTGGCTTCACTGGGTCGGTTCCTCCTGGCACCCAGTGGAGGCTTCAGCGGCCGGTCTACGGTCTCCGCCAGGCGCCACGTGAGTGGCACGACACACTGAGGACGACGCTTGCGGCTCTTGGGTTCGCTCCCTCTACTGCTGACCCGTCGCTGTTTCTACGCACCGACACCTCGCTGCCGCCGTTCTACATCCTCGTGTACGTTGACGACTTGGTCTTTGCCACAGCTGACACAGCGGCACTCGCCCACGTGAAGTCGGAGCTGCAGAGGAGACACACGTGCACAGACCTGGGTGAGCTGACAAGCTATCTTGGCTTGCGGATCACCCGGGACAGAGCACGGCGCACCATCACCTTGACTCAGTCACACATGGTGCAGCAGGTTCTCCAGCGCTTCCGCTTCACGTACTCCTCGCCTCAGTCCACTCCTCTGCCTACCGGTCACTCGCTCTCAGCTCTGCCTTCGGATGAGTCCGTAGAGCCGAGTGGCCCGTATCCAGAGCTTGTGGGCTGCCTCATGTACCTGATGACCTGCACTCGACCTGACCTGGCATACCCTCTTAGCATCCTTGCACGCTATGTCGCTCCTGGCCGTCACAGGAAGGAGCACATGGATGCCGCTAAGAGGGTGTTGCGCTACTTGTGCAGTACGTCGGGCATGGGGCTTGTGCTTGGAGGGCGGGACCGGGTTGTTCTCACAGGGCACTCAGATGCTTCTTGGGCAGACGACCAGGCTACTCAGCGGTCGTCACAGGGTTACACCTTCAGCCTTGGCTCTGGCTCAGTTTCTTGGCGTTCTACTCGTTCGTCTTCTGTTCTCAGCTCCAGTTGTGAGGCTGAGATCTACGCCACAGCCATGGCTGCTCAGGAGCTGCGCTGGCTGACCTACCTGCTGACCGACCTCGGAGAGCGGCCTCGTTCTCCTCCAGTGCTGTACGTCGACAACAAGGCTGCCATTGCCTTGTGTGAGGAGCACAGACTGGAGCACAGAACGAAGCACATTGCTCTGCGGTACTTCCTTGCTCGAGAGCTGCAGCAGCGCGGTCAGCTTCGTCTGCGTTACGTGGCCACTGAGGCCAACACTGCTGATGTGTTCACCAAGGCACTCCAGCCTTGTGACCATCAGCGCTTCTGTACTCTGTTAGGTCTTGTGCCTACTGGCCCTCACTTGCTCACTTCTTGACTTTGCCTGTACTGTGATCACTATATATTTATATACCTGCATGTTTACTCTTGCTAGGTTGTGATCATTGTACGTCTTGCTCTATTATAAACCTGCATGTGAACTGGTCTTGTGACCGCTTGTTTGTGCTCGGAATTTGTGTGGAATCCTCGAGATCCACCCTGAGCTTGTTTGCCTTACTTTGCCTTGACTGGTCTTGTGACCCCTAGGTCTCCCCCACTTTGCCTATGGGGGTGTGTCAAACATTATATATGTTTGGTTTGTTAGGCTACAGTGGGTTAGCCTGTATGGGGTACACAATTCTAGGGTTAGCTATTTGTACTGATTTCTCTGTTAGTTCAACCATTCCAGTCTCGTAATCTTGACACGAGGCGCACCGACGGCTGCAGTCAGCGGCGGCGGCAGCTGCGGTCCCGAGGGAGGTGGCGGCGGCTGCTGCTGGTAACGGCTGCTGCAGCTGCGGCTTCCGCTGCAGGGACGGCGGCGGCTGCTGCTGCAGGGACGGCGGCGGCTGCTGCTGCAGGGACGGCGGCGGCTGCTGCTGCAGGGACGGCGACGGCGGGCCGCGAAGGGCGGCGACAGGGCCGTGAGAGGCCGCAAAGGGCGGCGGAGTGGCCGTGAAGGGCGGCGCGAGGGGCCGCGGAGGGCGGCGACGGGCCGTGAAGGGCGGCGCGAGGGGCCGCGGAGGGCGGCGACGGGTCGTGATGAGGCCGCAAGGGGCCGCGAAGGGCGGCGCGAGGGGCCGTAAGGGGCCGCACGAGGGGCCGTAAGGGCGGCACGAGGGGCCGTAAGGGGCCGCGCGAGGGGCCGTAAGGGCGGCGCGAGGGGCCGTAAGGGGCCGCGAAGGGCGACGCGAGGGGCCGACGAGCGGCGCGAGGGGCCGTAAGGGGCCGCTAAGGGCGACGCGAAGGGGCCGTGAGGGGCCAAGAGAGGGCGCGACGGTAGGGAGGGCACACGGGGCGCTACTCGAGCAGGAGCAAAGCGCGCTCCGGGCAGGAAAAAAAAATTCGTGGTGGGCCCTAGGAAGCGTTCCCACTAGGGAACCTGCTCTATACCATGTGAAGAAACGAGGAATGAATGCATTGAGCAGCATGAGGAGTACAAGTACCAAACCCTAAAGTGTTGTACCCCATGTAAGCTACCCCACTACAGCCTACACAGACTATAGTATATGAGTTTGACAGGATGGTAGTACAAAAAGATACTGTATTTGCTATGTTGCATTTAATGTCTGCATGAATTGCGAGCATGTTGACGTCAGCAGCTTCCACTTGCGATTTTTGTCGGGGGTGTTCTAAGCCTCTAGCGAGATTCGCCATAACTGAAATGAACCTGGGAGGAAGATGAGGGCGCAAAAAACAAACATTTTTTTTTTTTTTTCGTTCATGTGCAGTACCGCAAGCTGGCCTGGGCGTGAAATGTGAGTGACGCGTTGGCAGCTGTGGTGGCAGGATTTCGTCCGGTAAGTTCAAAATCGTAACTGCATGCTAGGCTGTAGAGATCCACGCGGATTTTGGCACTGTTGTCAGAGTCGTTTTTTTTCTGTCAGAAATTGGGAAACTCACGGACGTGCGGTATTTACTGGAAACCTACCGTTTCGTCGTAGGCAACAACTTGAAGACGGCTTAAAAATTGGCTAAGTATAAAAAATCGACAGTATGTTAGTTAATTTTTAATAGGAAAAAAAACATTTCTGAGGGTTTTCGGGATAAGGGCAAAGCAGCCCACCACATATGAAGTAGAGAAACGCCCTGTGGCAAGAACATCTGGCCACTGGGCTGTTTCATTTTTTTCATTGAGTGGTGTCAAAGCAACACCAAAAAAGGACCATTTATTTTTTCTTGAAAGGACAGTGTGGCACATTCTGGAAAAGGGGAGGCAGTTGGGCAACTCGTTTAATGTGATTGACAAAAGAGAATTTGTGGAAGTGCGTGATTATGCGTCTAAACTTTCACTACATTATAGGTGCATTAAGGGCAGTTGCAAAAATTCTTTACTTTGTCTTGGTGATGCTTTCCATCTCTTCCTTGTTTCTGGTTCTTGTTTCTGGTCCTTGAATCTGGTTCTTGTTTCTGGTTCAAGCAGAAAACTTGCTTGGTTTTTGATCAATATCTACTTTCCTAGCCAAACTCATCCATTCTCTCCTAGCCTCTTTACCTAGAGCTAAGAAGGCTGCTACTACTCCAAGTTGACTTCTTCCTGCGTTCTTAGCATCAAATGTGAGACTCTTTTATGGTTATTTTCAACAGTAGCAGATCTTCCTGCCTTAGTCTTGGATGTTCTAACTGTCAAACTCATACACTATAGTCTGTGTAGGCTGTAGTGGGGTAGCTTATATGGGGTACAACATTTTAGGGTTTGGTACTTGTACTCCTCATGCTGCTCAATGCATCATTCTCGTTCTAGTTTTCACATGGTATAGAGCAGGTTCCCTCGTGGGAACTGTTCCTAGGGCCCACCGATTTTCATTCTTTCCTGCCCGGAGCGCACTCAGCCCCTGCCCGAGTCACGCTCCCCTCTCACGGCCCCGTCGCGCCGCCCTTGCGGCCCCGTCGCGCCGCCCTTGCGGCCCCGTCGCGCCGCCCTCGCGGCCCCGTCGCGCCGCCCTTGCGGCCCCTTCGCGCCGCCCTCGCGGCCCCTTCTCGCCGCCCTCGCGGCCCCGTCGCCCCACCCTCGCGGCCCCGGCGCCGCTCTTACCGGCCCCGGCGCAGCCACTGCTGGCCCCGTCGCCCTACCCTCGCGACCCCGCGGCCCCACCCTTGCGGCCCCGGCGCCGCCCCTCACGGCTTGGTCGCAGCCGCCCGCGACCCCACCGCCGCCCTTCGCGGCCCCGTCGCCACACCCGTGCGACCCCGGCGCCGCCCTTCGCGGCCCCGTCGCCACACCTCCGCGGCCCGGTCGCCACCCTTCGTGGCCCCGCCGCCGCCCTTCATCGGCCCTGCCGCCGTCCCTTCAGCGGCCCTGCCGCCCTTCACGGCCCCGCCGTCACCACCGAGCAGCCGAGCCGCCGAGCCGCCGGCGCCGCCGAGCCGCCGTTGCCGCCGAGCCGCCGAGCCGCCGAGCCGCCGAGCCGCCGTTGCCGCCGAGCAGCCGTTGCCGCCGAGCCGTCGAGCCGCCGAGCCGCCGAGCCGCCGAGCCGCCGAGCCGCCGTTGCCGCCGAGCCGCCGAGCCGCCGAGCCGCCGAGCCGCCGCTGCCGCCGAGCTGCCGAGCCGCCGAGCCGCCGTTACTGCCGTCGCGGCCCTGTTCCTGCCGGCGAGCCTCGGTCCTTCTCGCCTGCCCGGTAAGAGCAGCGCCTCCACCACTGCACTGCCCTTGCCTGCTGCTCGCGCTGCTAGTCTACTGCTGTCATGGCTGCCCCTAGTGTCCTCACTTTTGACGCTGAGGGTCGGGCCATTGACTTTGACGTCTGGGTAGATGACCTGCAGCTTTTCCTGCTGAGCGATAGGGCAGACGGTCTCTCCCTCTTTGACCTCACTTCTGGTGCCTCTCCTGCCCCTGCTGCTGATGCTGACGCCACTGTTCGCTCACAGTGGGCCACGCGCGATGCTGCTGCCCGCCTTGCTGTGCGCCGCCACTTGCCGACCGCTGAGCGTGCGCACTTTAGCCAGTACAAGAGTGCTAAGACCTTGTACGACGCTGTAGTTGCACGCTACTCTTCCCCTGCCACTGCTGCGCTTAGCCGCCTCATCCTACCGTACCTCTTCCCTGACCTCGCCGCTTTTCCCACTGTCGCTGACCTCATTACGCACCTTCGCACTAGTGACACTCGCTACCGCGCTGCGCTTCCTGCTGAGTTCTGCGCCAAGAACCCCCCCCCCATGTACATCACCCTCTACTACATAGTCACCCGGCTCCCTGACACCCTTCGCCCGGTCAGGGACCACTTCCTCTCTGTTTGCCCCACCACCCTCACCGTTGACCTCCTCGAGGAGCGCCTTCTTGCGGCCGAGAAGAGCATAGTCGCTGTAGGAGCCTCTCGTGGTGACCCTCGTACCCCTGTCTTTGAGGGGTGCTCCCCCTCTCCCCTCCTGCCCTCTGTTGCCTCTGCTGCTGCGACCGATCTCGTTGGTCTTGAGTCGGTCGCTGCGGCGTCTGCCCCTAGCGGGAGACGCCGCCCTGGCAAGGGCAAGGGGGGCAAGGGTGCTGGAGGAGCTAGCGGGGGCGGTGGAGGCGGAGGTGGAGGTGGTGGAGGGGGTGGGGGTGGCGGTGGGGGTGGTGGCGGGGGTGGGGGCGTCAATGGAGGCAGTGGAGGCGGAGGCGGAGGCGGCGGTGGCGGTGGGAGCGGAGGTGGCGGAGGTGGCGGTAGTGGAGGGGGTAGCAGCGGAGGAGGTGGAGCTGGTCGGGGTGGCGCTGCACAGAGGGTTGGCTCCGGTGGTGGTCAGCGCCAGCAGCAGCAGCAGCGCGCTCGTGAGATCCCCCCCCCTCAGCAGCTTTGTGAGTGGTACGCTGCACGTCAGCGGGGTGGGGGTACTGGCCCCTATACCTACGTTCTCCGTACCAGCGACCGAGTGGGTGAGCAGTGTGGGGGAGCGCACTCCACCCAGCGCTGCTTCGGCCGTCTGACGGACGCGTGGCGTCACCAGTTCCCCGACGCTACTGAGATCCCTCGCTGGGGCGAGCTGTCTAGGGCGGGTGTTGCGATCTTTGATCTTGATTATGATGCTATTCTTGCTGCCATGTATGCTGTGACTATTAGTGATGAGGGTGACTGTTACCGGTGTTTTCCGCCTGACCCGGGCATTGAGGCTGCTGCGCTAGGTGCTTGTGAGGCTGCTGCTCTAGGTGCCAGTGAGTCTGCGCTCTCAGGTACTGCGTCGTCTCCGGACACCCACACCTTCACCCTTGACTCGGGTGCTTCCCGCTCCTTCTTTCGAGACTGCACCACTCTCACGCCACTCAGTCGGCCCGTTGCAGTCTCCCTGGCAGACCCCTCTGGGGGTCCTGTCCTTGCCCACTACTCCACTGTCCTACCGTGTCCAGCGGTCCCGTCTGGCTCCCTGTCGGGTCTTTACCTCCCCTCGTTCTCTACGAACTTGGTGGCGGGTGCAAACCTACAGGATGGGGGGGTTGACCAGTTCACCCCTGCTCGTCAGCGGGTGACTCACTGCACGTGTGCAGACACGGGCCGACACTTGGCCACGTTTACCCGTCGGCCGGGGTCGAGCCTGTACACACTGACTACTGAGTCTCCTCCAGTCACTGAGTCTGCTCAGGTAGCAGCGTCGGGTCAGGTGTTTGCTGCGGCGTCCAGGTCTGGTCCTGAGTCTGCCCCCTGCTCGTGTCGTCTCCTGTCCCACCGGACTCTCCTCTGGCACCACCGCCTTGGTCACCCCTCCCTGCCATGTCTTCGAGGCATGGCTTCCCGTCTTCTTGTCTCTGGCCTCCCCCGGTCCCTCCCTCCCCTTCCTCCGGGGCCTGCCCCCACCTGCGTTCCCTGCGTCGAGGGGCGGCAGCGCGCTGCCCCTCACTCCTCCGAGTTTCCTCCGACAGAGGCTCCACTGCAGACGCTTCACATGGACGTGTGGGGCCCAGCCCGCGTCCGTGGGCAGGGTCACGAGCGTTACTTCCTGCTGGTGGTTGACGACTACTCGCGTTACACCACAGTCTTCCCCTTGCGCAGCAAGGGTGACGTCACTGAGGTGTTGATCGCCTGGATCCGCGCAGCTCGTCTTTAGCTCCGGGAGAGTTTCGGCTCGGACTTTCCTGTTCTGCGTCTGCACTCCGACAGAGGCGGAGAGTTCTCCTCTGACCTTCTGCGGGCCTTCTGTCGTGCACGAGGCATCCGCCAGACCTTCACGCTTCCGGACTCTCCACAGCAAAATGGGATTGCTGAGCGCCGCATTGGCATGATCATGGACGTCGCTCGTACGTCCATGGTCCATGCGGCTGCCCCCCATTTTCTGTGGCCGTTTGCGGTTCGGTACGCGGCGCATCAGATCAACCTTCACCCCCGGGTCTCCATGCCGGAGACCTCCCCTGCTTTGCTGTGGACGGGGAAGGTTGGCGATGCGTCTGCGTTCCGTGTCTGGGGATCTCAGACGTTTGTCCGCGACTTGTCTGCGGACAAGCTGTCCTCTCGTGCTGTTCCCTGCGTCTTCCTTGGCTTCCCCCCTGACGCGCCAGGCTGGCAGTTCTACCACCCCACCTCGCGCCGTGTTCTGTCCTCCCAGGACGTCACCTTTGACGAGTCGGTTCCCTACTACCGTCTCTTCCCCTACCGCACTGCGTCCCTCCCTCCCCCGCCGCTCTTCCTTATGTCAGGTCCCCCTCTGGTAGACCCCCTCCCCCCTCAGGGTCCTGCTCCCTCAGGTGTGTCCCAGGTAGATGCAGTCGAGCCTGTCGAGGTAGCTGTTGACTCTGGTGCTGCTGGGGGTGCTGAGCCTGGGGGTGCTGGGTCTGGGGGTGCTGCGACTGGGGGTGCTGAGCTTGGGGGTGCTGCGCCTGGGGGTGTTGAGCTTGGGGGTGCTGCGCCTGGGGGTGCTGAGCCTGGGGGTGCTGAGCCTGGGGGTGCTGCGCCTGGGGGTGCTGAGCCTGGGGGTGCTGTGTCTCGGAGTGCGGAGCCTGAGGGTGCTGGGCCTGCTCGTGTGGCGTCTGGTGGTGCTGGGCCTGGAGGTTCTTCGGGTGCTTCGTCCCGGCGGGAGCTACTCTCTCCACAGGAGCTGCGTGAGTGGTTCGCCCGGCGCTGGCGGCGTGCTGCTGGAGCTGGTGGTGCTGCGGACGCTGGAGGTTCTGCTGCTGCTGAGGGTCCCAGAGGTGCTCGTACAGGGTGTACTGGAGCTGCTGGGCCCACGGATGCTCCTCCTGCTGGATCTGGTGGTGCTACTGGTGCTACTGGCGTTGGTGCTGCTGGTGCTCCTGGAGCTGGAGCTGCTGCGTCTTCGGGTGGTCCGGCTGGAGCTGGAGCTACTGGGGGTGTTGGCGCTGGAGGTGCTACTGGCGCTGGTGCTGCTGAGGGTGCTGGAGTTGGCGCTGCTGGAGCTGGGGGTACTCCTGGTGCTGGTGCTCCCGTTGGGGGTGCTGGTGCTGTTCCTGCTGGCACTGGTGGCGCTGCGCGGCCACGGCCGTACTTCGTTCCGCTCCTTGAGCAGGTTCTTGGTCTTCCGTCCTCTCTTGGTCCTGCTCCTGGCTTAGAGTGTCCGCCTCCTGTCCAGACTGAGTCACAGTTACAGCCAGCCTCCCCGCTTCCTTCTCCTTCTCCCTACACTGGTCCTACTGGAGGTCTTGCTGAGCGTCGTGAGCCTGCGTCTCGCCCTGCGTCGCCTGTCCGTGCTGCTCGCACTAGTGGTCGTGGTTCGCGTCAGCGTCCTCCCCCTGTCCCCGGCACGCACCGGATGTCTCTGCGTCCTTCCACTGCTCCACTGCGTGCCCCTTTGCCTTCTCCTCCCGAGTCCTCTCTTCCTGCACTTGCTGACCCGGAGTCGGACTCCCTTCGTGCTGCGAGTCCTACTGTCACGCGTCTCCTTGCTACTGTCGTCACTGACCCTTCCTTTGAGTCTACTGCTGCGTCTGCCCTGGTTGCTGAGCTTGTCGACTTCGCTGCTCGCTGTCGCCTAGACTACGCTGCCAGTCTCGTCGCTGCGTCTGAGTCTGTCTGTCCTCCGTCCGTCGGGGGTGAGTGTGCTCTTGGCACGGACGTCCTTGAGGACAGGCAGGAGAAGTTCCAGTGCTTGGCTGCTGCTTCACCTCATCTCGTGTCCATGCTGCTTGCCCCTGAGGGAGACCCGGATGCACTTGACATCCCGACTCCGCGCTCTTACACGGAGGCGATAGAGGGTCCCTGCTCCTCTCAGTGGTAGGCAGCCATGGACGCAGAGATGGCTTCCTGGAAGTCCACAGGCACCTACGTTGACGAGGTTCCCCCGCCTGGGGCGAACATCGTCAGTGGCATGTGGATTTTCCGGGTGAAGCGGCCGCCGGGTTCTCCGCCTGTCTTCAAGGCGCGTTACGTGGCTCGTGGCTTCAGTCAGCGGCAGGGAGTTGACTACTTTCAGACCTTCTCTCCCACCCCGAAGATGACCACTCTTCGGGTACTGCTGCACATAGCCGCTCACCGAGACTACGAGCTGCACTCTCTTGACTTCAGCACTGCTTTCTTGCAGGGCAGCCTGCACGAGGAGATCTGGCTGCGCCGCCCACCTGGCTTCACTGGGACTTTTCCTCCTGGTACCCAGTGGAGCCTCCGGCGGCCAGTCTACGGTCTCCGCCAGGCGCCTCGTGAGTGGCACGACACACTGAGGGCTACACTTGCGGCTCTTGGGTTTGCTCCTTCTACTGCCGACCCGTCGCTGTTTCTGCGCACCGACTCTTCCTTGCCGCCGTTCTACATCCTCGTGTACGTCGACGACTTGGTCTTTGCTACAGCTGACACTGCTGGACTTGCCTACGTGAAGTCCGAGCTGCAGAAGAGACACACGTGCACAGACCTGGGTGAACTGCGCAGCTACCTTGGCTTGCAGATCACCCGGGACAGAGCACAGCGCACCATTACCCTGACTCAGTCACACATGGTGCAGCAGGTCCTTCAGCGCTTCGGCTTCACGTACTCCTCGCCTCAGGCCACTCCTCCTCCTACATGCCACTCGCTCTCAGCTCTGCCTTCGGATGAGTCCGTAGAGTCGAGTGGCCCGTACCCAGAGCTTGTTGGCTGCCTCATGTACCTGATGACCTGCACTTGACCTGACCTTGCATACCCTCTTAGCATTCTGGCACGCTATGTTGCTCCTGGGAGACACAGACCAGAGCACATGGATGCCGCGAAGAGGGTGTTGCGCTACTTGTGCAGTACGTCGGGCATGGGGCTTGTGCTTGGAGGGCAGAGTCCAGTGGTCCTCACTGGTCACGCAGACGCTTCTTGGGCCGACGACCAGGCTACGCAGCGGTCGTCACAGGGTTACACCTTCAGCCTTGGTTCCGGCTCTGTTTCGTGGCGGTCTACCCGCTCGTCTTCTGTTCTCGGCTCCAGTTGTGAGGCTGAGATCTACGCAGGGGCCATGGCTGCACAGGAGCTACGCTGGCTCACCTACCTGCTGACTGACCTGGGAGAGCCGCCTCGTTCTCCTCCAGTGCTGTACGTAGACAACAAGGCCATGCTGGCCTTGTGTCGGGAGCACAGACTGGAGCACAGAACGAAGCACATCGCTCTTCGCTACTTCCTTGCTCGTGAGCTGCAGCAGCGTGGTCAGTTGCGCCTTGCTTACGTGGCCTCTGAGGCCAACACTGCTGATATCTTCACTAAGGCACTCGCGCCTTGTGATCATCAGCGCTTCTGTACTCTGTTAGGTCTTGTGCCTACCTTGCCTCACTTGCTTACTCCTCGACCTTGCTTGTACTGTTACATATATATACCTGCCCTTGCTTGTTTAGCGTTATATATATGTAAACTGGCCGTGTGGCCTTGAACTTGTGCTCAGACTGTGTGGTGACGTTGTGATCCACCCTGAGCTTGCTTTTCTTTGCTTTGCTTGACTGGTCTTGTGACCCCTTGCTCTCCCCCACTTTGCCTATGGGGGTGTGTCAAACTCATACACTATAGTCTGTGTAGGCTGTAGTGGGGTAGCTTATATGGGGTACAACATTTTAGGGTTTGGTACTTGTACTCCTCATGCTGCTCAATGCATCATTCTCGTTCTAGTTTTCACACTAACTTCAAACTCTCTGTTTTTCCATAAGTGATTCAAGCAGGAGGCGCCCGTGCTTACAAGTCCAGAAAGGCTTCAATATTCGTGTTCAAATCAACTCGTTTTTTTGTATGTATTTTTCTTTATTGATGCACATTCGCCTTTTTTTGTGTTATTTTTTTTTTTCTGTTGCTTGCTTTTCCTCAACAATGGTCATTTTCATTGTCTTAGAGCATCATATATGTTTGGTAATTGTTTTGCCCCTTGTTGTCTCTATAGTTCTATGATGTTTCAGTTTCTTCCATTTTTGTCCTTGTTGCACTTGATAATCAGGAGCCAAGTTTTTACAGTTGAGGCTTTATCCACAGCAAAGAATTGGATATGCTCAGCATTTATTTTTACGTGTACATTCCGTTTGAATTCGTATTTAACTGTACATTTTTTACTTGAACATTTCCCTTTGTTTCAACAGGAATCCCTGTTAGCTTTCCCTGCAATTTTACAAAGGTATTATTTTAAGGTCCAAAATGTTGAAGCTTTACTGTCATGTTGCTATCATTGCTAATATAATCTACTGATTGAAAATAATCTATTGTATCTTCAAAACATTTCTGTATTTCCATAATTCCTTGTAATTTATTCGCATACCTGCAATTGTGTTTAAGTTTTACATTGGTGTTTTGCGTTTCAGAAGTTCTAACAGTCCAAAGAGCTAAAAGGGATCTTGTATCACGTCGTGAAATTTCCCTACATTTGCAAGTATGTAATTACATAATTATCTATGTTTATAGCATAACCTGAGCCCTAAAATGAAGTCGTCGAATCTCTGCTGGCTTTGCAAGAATGTAATAATTTGATAAGATATTATTATTATGAGGCTTATATTTTGGTTAGACGTGGAAGAAGATTGTATATATAAAATTATCAATTTCAGGTGTAGCATACGTTAAAATTATTTGTGTTTACTTGTAAGATGTAATTGATTTGTATGAATTAAACATAATCTTTTCCCAATAGAATTTTTCCTTGTGTTTCGTTTTGTGTTTATAACATTTACCATTCCTTTCTCCTTTCCGTTTCATTTTTGTTTGTTTGTTTGTTTGTTTGTTTGTTTTTTTTTTTTTTTTTTTTTTTTTCGCAGGGCGTGCGTACAATTACTCAAGGTATACAAATCTTAAGCATAGCGATAACACGTTAGTTACATAATAAACAAAATAAAATTGATAAATATTGGATTCTTTCGTTGTATCATATTCGTATTGGTTCTTTGTAATTATTGAATAAGTTTTGTTTCTTTTTGTGTCTATATTTTTGTTGTAAGAAATTTTGCATAAATCACTTGTGTTTCTGTTTTCCAGTGGACGTATTTGGATTGGCGTCGAAGCGTTTGCGTGGGCACTTCCTTGTGATTGGAGATGGAATCTTCTGCGCCTAAGCTTTTTACGGGAGCTCACATTGATGGTGCGTTAAGGAGAAGGTTTGTATTTCGTAGACGAACGGTACATGGAGATGGGGCTTGTTTGTCAAACATTATATGTTGTAGCTTTGTAGGCTACAGTGGGTTTAGCCTTAGGGGGTACACAATTCTAGGGTTTCATATTTGTACTCCCATTCTTGCTAGTCACACCATTCCTCGTTTCTTCACATGGTTTCAGAGCAGGTTCCCTAGTGGGAACGCTTCCTAGGGCCCACCACGAACTTTTTTTTTCCTGCCCGGAGCGCGCTTTGCTCCTGCCCGAGTCGCGCCCCGTGTGCCCTCCCTACCGTCGCGCCCTCTCTCGGCCCCTCACGGCCCCTTCGCGTCGCCCTTAGCGGCCCCTCTCACGGCCCCTCGTGCCGCCCTTACGGCCCCTTGCGCCGCCCTTACGGCCCCTCGCGCCGCCCTTACGGCCCCTTACGGCCCCTCGCGCCGCTCGTACGGCCCCTCGCGTCGCCCTTCGCGGCCCCTTACGACCCCTTGCGCCGCCCTTACGGCCTCTCGTGCGGCCCCTTACGGCCCCTCGCGCCGCCATTCGCGGCCCCTCGCGGCCTCCTCACGGCCCGTCGCCGCCCTCCGCGGCCCCTCGCGCCGCCCTTCACGGCCCGTCGCCGCCCTCCGCGGCCCCTCGCGCCGCCCTTCACGGCCCCCTCTGCCGCCCTTCACGGCCCGCCGTCGCCGTCCCAGCAGCAACAGCCGCAGCCGTCCCTGCAGCAGCAGCCGCCGCCGTCCCTGCAGCAGCAGCCGCCGCCGTCCCTGCAGCAGCAGCCGCCGCCGTCCCTGCCGCGGAAGCCGCAGCTGCAGCAGCCGTTACCAGCAGCAGCCGCCGCCACCTCCCTCGGGACTGCAGCCGCCGCCGCCGCTGTCTGCAGCCACCGGTGCGCCTCGCCCCTACCGACGCGCCTCGGCCCTACCTGCGCGCCTCGGCTCGTCCCTGCCGGTGCGCCTCGGCCCTGCCCCACCACTTGCGGCTCTCTGCCCTGGTAAGAGTGTCGCCGCACTGCGCTGTCACTACTGCCACTGCTGCTACTGCTGCCACTGCTGTCATGGCTACCCCTAGCGTCCTTGTCTTTGATGCTGAGGGTCGGGCTGTTGACTTTGAGGTCTGGCTCGATGATCTGCAGCTTTTCCTACAGTGCGATAGGGCAGACGGTCTCTCCCTCTTTGACCTCACTTCTGGTGCCTCTCCTTCCCCTGCTGCTGATGCTGACGCCACTGTTCGCTCACAGTGGGCCACACGCGATGCGCCGCCACCACTTGCTGTGCGCCGCCACTTGCCGACCGCTGAGCGTGCGCACTTTAGTCAGTACAAGAGTGCTAAGACCTTGTACGATGCTGTAGTTGCACGCTACTCTTCCCCTGCCACTGCTGCGCTTAGCCGCCTCATACTGCCGTACCTCTTCCCTGACCTCGCCGCTTTTCCCACTGTCGCTGACCTCATTACGCACCTTCGCACTAGTGACATTCGCTACCGCGCTGCGCTTCCTGCTGAGTTCTGCGCCAAGAACCCCCCCCCCATGTACATCACCCTCTACTACATAGTCACCCGGCTCCCTGACACCCTTCGCTCGGTCAGGGACCACTTTCTCTCTGTTTGCCCCACCACTCTCACCGTTGACCTCCTCGAGGAGCGTCTCCTAGCAGCAGAGACGAGCATAGTTGCTGTAGGAGCCTCTCGTGGTGACCCTCGTACCCCTGTCTTTGAGGGGTGCTCCCCCTCCCCCCTCTTGCCCTCTGTTGCCTCTGCTGCTGCAACCGACCTTGTTGGTCTTGAGTCGGTCGCTGCGGCGTCTACCTCTATCGGGAGACGCCGCCCAGGCAAGGGCAAGGGGGGCAAGGGCGCTGGGGGAGCTGGCGAAGGCGGTGGAGGTGGCAGTGGAGGAGGCGGAGGGAGTGGGGGTGGCGGTGGGAGTGGTGGTGGGAGTGGGGGCACTAGTGGAGGCAGTAGCTACGGAGGAGGAGGCGGTGGTGGAGGTAGCGGCGGCGGAGGTGGAGCGGGTCGGGGCGGCTCTACGCAGAGGGTCGGCTCCGGTGGTGGTACGCGCCAGCAGCAGCAGCAGCAGCGTACTCGTGAGACCCCTTCCCCCCAGCAGCTTCGTGAGTGGTACACTGCTCGTCAGCGGGGCGGGGGTGCTGGCCCCTGTACCTACGTTCTCCGTACCGGCGACCGCGCGGGTGAGCAGTGTGGGGGAGCGCACTCCACCCAGCGCTGCTTCGGCCGTCTGACGGACGCGTGGCGTCACCAGTTCCCCGACGCTACTGAGATCCCTCGCTGGGGCGAGCTGTCTAGGGCGGGTGTTGCGATCTTTGATCTTGATTATGATGCTATTCTTGCTGCCATGTATGCTGTGACTATTAGTGATGAGGGTGACTGTTACCGGTGTTTTCCGCCTGACCCGGGCATTGAGGCTGCTGCGCTAGGTGCTTGTGAGACTGCTGCTCTAGGTGCCAGTGCGTCTGCCGCCCCAGGTGCCGGTGAGTCTGCGCTCTCAGGTACTGCGTCGTCTCCGGACACCCACACCTTCACCCTTGACTCGGGTGCTTCCCGCTCCTTCTTTCGAGACTGCACCACTCTCACACC